TATCAAACTAAAAACATAGGTCTCGGCTACCAACCATCCTGGGCGGTGTCGAGCTTCAATTGCTGATTGAGGAACGACACGACATCATCAACTTCTCTGCCTTGAGGCTCCGTGAATTTCATGTCACCCATGCTATTCAGCAAATCGCTGAGGTCTCCTCCATCATCTTCATCATTTCTATCACCTCCTGCTTGCAAATCTGGAATATGAACTATGTGATCATCGCAAGACATTCAAACACTTCACTGACATCTATGGCTTGACTCACTCTATAGTGAAAAAAAACTGAGCTGAAATAAAGGCAAAACTGCAATGAATAATATGGGATGACAAGGTGGTAGAATGTAATGAGCTTCCCTTATATTTTCTCGCGCTACTGCCAAAATGTGTAAAAGACACATTACGAACATTGCCGTGTTGCCATCTGTTGCGCTGTCTTTGAACCAGTGCAAACGATGACAATAATTGATAGTTTGGCTGTCCAAGAAAGTAGGAGGGTCTACTGAATAAAGGAAAGATAGAGACCTGAGCAAAGGATGTGTAGCGCGCTTCGTCGCGAGGGGCGCACTCGAGCCAACTTAGGAAAACCCTACGCAACTCTCGCACCGGCTTCAGCATTCGTTCCGCTTCTGTCATCTACGCTAAGCGGCTAGAACAGAGGGCTAGAGGGTGGGCGTGCCACGGCACTAGCGGCACGGATATGACTCTGCTAGGCCGCTAGGTCATACTTTTCGCTGTGAACGCGCATCGTCCCGCACTCTTAAGGGCCCGCCTGCCTTCGACTTGTTATATTACTCCTTCTTGGACCTTCGATCTTATCGTGGAATCCTCCTGGAATTCGAGCCGTAGCAGCAAAATCAGAGCACGACGTGATGTTACGACTCCGGCCCTGGTGGAATCACGTCCAGCTACCAAAAAGAATGTGCACCAGGAAGGCACTACTTCGCGTTTTTAGCCGTTTCTATGAATATCTCCTCCGCTACCGCCCCAACAGGCACCTCTACATTCATTTTCGACCACCGACTGAATTATCGCATCCACTCCATTAACACGAGCCTACATGATCTTTACCTTCTTCTTCATCGTCGTAGTCCTCCTCTTCATCCTCGCTGTCGTTTTCTGACTCAACAAACTCATCAGAGCACTCGGACAGAGTCCCTTCGTCATCACTGAATTGGAGGGTTATCAATTTAGAGCCGAATTCTCGACCACCAAAAAATCGCTTACTCGCTTTCGCCAAGATCGATAGGAGTACCCTCAGCCATCTCTTTTATATCATAGAATCGTGATCCAAAGCAGTTATTCGTCATCTTCAACTTTCTGAAACGCATAAAATACTGGCAAAGACTATAAAGAAAAAAGACATGACGCAGAAATAGTTCTAAAAACGCACACAACTTGGCCTTCGGCTAGGAAAACTTCCTTCCACATTGTAACGACTGATTCTCCAGTTTCAGCTGATAACTCATTGCCAGAGAAGTCTACATACTGGAAAAATGATAAAGATTAATTTTGGAATATTAAGATGGAATATTCAGCATTGAATGATCAATATAACAACACTGCCTAATGATGCTTTTTCAGCCGATAGAGCCTATCCTTAAGAAAGTATGGCAACCTAGACACCTGTAGTTTGAAGTGACGTTGGAGCGCTTCACAGATGTTCACAATTCCGTCATCTCTGCATAAGCTGTCACCAAGATCAAGGACTTCAAGGTGAGTGAGATCTTCAAGAACCTGAAGACTATAGGAGATAAAGGTTACTATAGGAGTTAAATTCATCTAAACTATACATAAATAAAGAATACCAACATCAGCTAGTGCCAAAGCTCCCTCGACCGTACACGTATTGTCGTTGACGTTAATTATTCGAAGTGAAGGATTCGATCGAAATGAGCGTGCTAGAGCACAAATTCCTGCTGCACGGATACCATTTTGTGGTATGACGACTTCCTCGAGAGTACCTAGGTTCTGCAAAAGTGAAAGTAAATCTAATACATTCGTCAATTTGTCACAAGGATCAGCTCTCGTCGAATTTGCCAAACCCCAAGTAAAAGCGGGCGTAGACGACAGTTATTGATTTACCTCAAACGCTTCAGCCAAGGCTATAGCTCCGGGATCCTCCAGACGGTTTCTTCCAGCAATAAATGTTTTCAATTTGAACTCATAACCATCTCTAAAGGCGTTCCCGTGGCACTCACGTAAGCACTTTGCAATTCTCTGAAAACTACACGTATTCAGAAAATTTTAATGGTGGGGCTAGCACCCTATGGAGACTTTACTCACTTTTCCTCCGGCGCCAAGCCCATTGTTATTCAACTTTAGAACTTGAAGTGAATATGCAGATTTCGAAGTCAAGAATTGTGCAATTCCTATAAACTTGGAAGTTTGTATTTCATACGTCAAGAAAAGATGGAGAGAACATGAGGTTTCGAACCCATTAGTGTAACTGAACTAAGTAAACTACACAGCTTTAATTTTATAATAGAGGCTGTTGAAGAGGACTTTGCCCGATCAATCAGTAATGTTGCGTTCATAGCTCACGATTCCACCGATCGCTAACGTCGCGACATTTTGAGGCAGGCGCGCACCCCCCGGTCCCTTTTGATCATCAATTTTGACTCTGGCTATGATGGGCACAACTACAGTACTTGCTCCATCACTCAGCAAGCGTGTTAGACACCTATTAACCCTCACGAAAATGAGGCAATGTTTCCTTCCATCAGCAAAAGGAAGATGGACGCCAGACTCGGCGACTGAGCGTCGAAGCAATCGCTAGCGAAATGCAACCGCGACAGCGACTGCACAATCGCCCAGTCGCAATTGCAAAGGGCAATCGCGGAAGGCGGTGGCTCCCACGACATCGATACGGTCCGTCAGGGGTCACACGCGCGTTGTGCTGTCAAAATCCCAGGGACCGTAGCGACAGTGGGCGGAGCCATCGCCAGCCGCGACTGCACCTTGCACGTCGCGGTTGCTGTCGCGATTGCACCACGGCCGAGTCTGATATCCATCAAAAGCTACGCCAACTGGTTCCAAAAATAAATTCGGGCTAGAACAATTGAGCAACAGCTACAGC